GGAGCGCCACCGCACTCCCAAGCGGTGCACTGTAGCAGTGCGCCACCGGGCCGGCCCTAAACACCCCTTTTAGTTACTAGAAATTAATCAGTGAAAATGGTCTCTGCTTAACTTCTGCCTATCATAGTGTTTAAGCTAAATTCAGACCGTAGAATACATTTCTAGACCCTGTTTTACTACTAATGACTAGGTTGTTAAAATCCAAAAACTCCCTAAAAAGTGGGAAACAAAGGGAAGTACAAGGTGAAAAGAGAGAATTTAATTTGGCATGATACAAGAATATTTTGAAATGTTTACTTAACATGCTTAAAATGTAAGCCATAAGGCCTATGCTTTGAGTAACTATAAAATACCTATGGCCGGAATGGTAAGTACTTTGGGGTTTAACATCTGAGTTATAAACTCTGAAAATCAGGCACAATTGATTTTAAAAATCTTTATGATTCTGAGCTGGCTACTTAGTCCTCCTGTATTCAGACTGGATATTATCTGAGTGAGATACTCACTGCTGAAACTTGGATTTAGCTTCTCATACGTAGAGGAGGTGCAGCCATTTTTCTTTTTCCTCTTCCCCACACCTTCCGTAAGGGAGAGTACCTATCTCCCCCTCACCTGATCACTTCTCTTCCTACCTGTCCTTTTATTGGGTGTCACTCCTTTTTCAACTCTCTATTATTCTAGTGATTTTCCTTCTCCTCCTTTTCTGAGCAGGACTTTCTCCACTTGGTCTATTTTCAGCCCTTCTTCCGTTAACCTCTTTCCACTGCTCTGCACTGTATGTTGTCTCGGTGTCTACTTTACCGTGCATTGACTCTGAGGCTGTAACAGAGCCTGGAGAGTTATTCTAAGAGGAGCATATCCACCACAGCTTTTCTACCACCAGGTATAAATGTGTCTTCTCTCACAGCTGAGGCTGAGGTAGTAACATACAATGACATAAATAAACCATGAGTAGCCCGGAGGCATTTTTGGTCAATGATGGCATTAAAGTTTAAGTGTGATGAGTGTTGGGTTATACGAAACAGAGTTCTGCAAGTTAAGAATTATATATACACTTATGACTTGTAAGCACTGAGCTACAGTCTCTTAAAAAAGAACACAGAGGGTAAAAATCATTCCAACACTCATTTACTGTAATACCTAACCATAGACAGTTTACAATACATCCTTTCCATCTAGTATGAGGTTCTAGTTCTCTCTTCCTTTTTGGAATACACATTTGATCTATGCTCTGTCAGATATTTATCAGTCAATTTCTAGAAAAATAAGGAATTTCATGACTAATATTCAAAAAGAGAAAACGAGTACATTTTGGATTAAATAAGAAAATGCTTTTACTCCACTATAATTCTTAATGGTGGCTAAAGAAAGCTCATGCAGAGAAGAGCAGCGCTACAATCTATCTCCTTGTTGGGAAATCAAGTCACGGAAATGAGTTGCAACTGCACAAAGAAATCA